AAAAAAAAAAAAAAAAAAAAAAAAAAAAAAAAAAAAAGGATTAAAAGTGGCTTTGGGTGGCTTGTTTGCTTAACTCACTCTGCTTTGTGTCCACAAAGGGGAAAGCTGGTAAATCAAAAATATTCACACACACATGCGAACTACAGATGTTTTTCGCTGAGAAGCAAAATCGTGCGCCTCATTCGTTAATGAAAACGTGGAAAAACTACGTAAATAAATAAAACAATTTCACTGTGACTTTTCGCGAGGGAAGAACAATTACCTGGCCTGTTCTAAATACAGCCGTTGCTTTATGCATTCATTTTCAGACAGCTATGGCAGGGGCAGAGGAAGGCAGGCTGCGCGGGCCAGGGTGGGACGGGGCTGCTGTGCTGACTCCGAGCTCTGCAGGCACCTGGCTTTCGTTAAATGCCAAAGCGCAGCATCAACAAGCGGAAAAATATTTTGAAACTCTGTGGAGGAATACATGGCTTGGGGCTTCGGCGATTGGTCATAAAGCATTTTGCCTTTAAACAAAGCACTGAATTCAAAAGCTGTTCCCATCTGAAGACGTTTTGGCTCTCTGTAAAATAAGTTGATCTTCATCCAAGGCGTGCTGGACGAATATCCGCACGCAGAAACTAGCCTAATTAGCCGCTGGGTTTTGGGTTTTTTTTGGGTTGCCTCTCAACCCAAAGGGATCAGTCCACGGGAACTAAGTGACTTCCCAAACCCAGATGAGATCACGGTTCGATGAGATGAGACGCTGCTGCTGCACTTGTCTGTTGTGAGCAAGAGGGGCAGCAACCTGCCAGCCCGGACTCTCCCGCCAGCAGGAGAAGGCTCAGCAGAGGAACAAGGGCTTTAGCATTTGCAAACCTGCTCACACCACGTCCTCGCCCCACGTGCCCGCTGCTGGTCACGGCTAGCTTCAGAGTTAGTCCCTTCCCAAGCACCCGCTAAGATCCTTTCTTAACACTGTCCTGCTGCCCTCGGTACTATGAAGAAATGAAGCCAGTGCCCAGAGCCCTGGGTTTAGGCAGAGATTTTCACTGGAAGTTGTGTCCTCTGCAGTCCCCAGGGCACAGATGGGCTCTGAAGCTGTTCTTAGTGCCAGCAAAACTACCTTCAGGTTAGGCGGGATGCAAAAACCCAGGCCACAGCTTTCCATTCCATCGGGGGGGGGAATTTTGTGCTAAAATATCAGGCTCCCTCACTGAGATGGAAAAGCCTCCTCCAGTCCTAGAAAAAGAAACGCGGGGCAGCAGAGCCTGTCCTAGTGCAGGTGAAGCTGTGACTGTCCCACTCCTGCTCCTGCGTGTGGAATGTGTCCCCACTGCCTGGAGAATTCATGTCTGGGAGGAAAATGGGAAAATGGGGGATGCAGAGGCCAGTGGATGGGTCTGCGGTGGGGCAGCGGGCTGGGGGGTGCCCCGCTGGGGCAGCTCTGGGCATGCAGGGGCCTCACAGGCTGAAGCTTTGGTGGGCTCCAAGGGCATCAGGAGCCCTAGAAAATATTACAGGTCTCCCGTAATCTTCGCAAATGGGGAAAAGGCTGGAAACCACTGCTCTTGCATGATGCCAAGGGAACTGTGCTGTCAGAAAAAAACCTTTTTTTTGGTGATAATTATGAAACCAAGAGGCTCGCCTTTGTGTAAGGACCATAACCGACCTCAGCCGTCAGAGCGGGAGTGTTAGCCGGAGCCTTAGCCCCAGCTTCCTAGCTGTGTCCTA